AACTAGAAAGTGAGGCACAAGATGCAGCCTCTGTGCCGGGCTTCAATTGGCAGATTCCTGGGCTCCACCCACCCACCCCCACCCAGATCTCTTGAAACAGGATTTCTAGGGTGGGACCCTGGAGTCTGTTTCACAGGCCTCTCAATCAGTTGAAAGGATTGTCTATATCCGAGCTCAGTGGTGCATGTGTCTAATCCCAGAGGCTCAGAGGTTGAGGCAGGAGAATCACAAATTGTAGACCAGCCTTAGCAACTTGGTGAGACCTGTCTCAAAAATAAGAAGGACTGGGAGATGTGGCTCAGTGGTAGAGCACCTCTGGGTTCAATGCTTAGTACTGGAAAAAAAAAGAAGGAGAAGGAGAAGAGGAAGAGGAGAAAAGTTGTCTATTAAAGGCTTCTGGTCACAAATACACCCATGCCCACAGCTAGTTATGAAATTTTAAGTTTAGAAGGTTAATTAATAGTCCAGAGTGGACCGATTCAGATCAACAAATATTTTCTGAACACAGATTGTCAGCCATCGTGCTGGGCACCAGAAAAAACAAAGATGAATGAGACGTTGTCCAATCTGCAAGAAGCTCAAGTTTGTAGGAAGATGAACAATCAGCAATGAAATGGTACCTGGGGCACCACTGGTAACACTCATAAACAGAAACAGTGCTTTATTTCCTTCTCTGTTGCTCCCCTCAACCCTTTTCTTCCTCTTCCCATTCTTCTCTCTGGTTTTCTTTTTTGTCCTCTCTTTTTGCCCAGACTTTAAAAATTTCACAGCCTTCTAGCCAGCCTGTCATGCAGCAAACATCGTAAATGTTTGACTCTTGATTCAGAATCATCTTAAGATTTTACTCCAGGAATGCTAAAATTGGGTGAGCTCCTTTAACAAAGTGTTGGGCAAGCTGATGGATGCCACTGTCTCCAGCTTCTTTAAGAGTTGACACTCTAGGTTGTGAAAGGATCACAAATTCCTTTCCCAGGAACACCTCACTTTGCAATAGGACTTGACCATAGCTATCCCATGCAATGGCAGAATCTCTACTCCTCTTCCTTAAATCTGAGTTCAATCTGTGGCTGACAAAATATATGGCAAAAGTGCCATGGTTAAGTTTCTGAGCTAAGCCTCAAGTGGCCATCCTGAGACTGTGGCCCTGGAAAAAAAAGTCCACTGGGGGAGACTAGCAACCCCACAGAACTGCCCAGTCAGTCCTCAGAATAACGGCAAATTAAAAAAACTAAAACATGTTATGGTAAGCCATTAAATTTGGGGGTTATTTGTTGTGAGACAGTTTATCTTACCAGTACATTGTCCTTGGAGGGTCAGCCACAGTTGCTCATGGAACAAGTACTCTAGTAGCTTAAGGAATTATGCTTTTCCATTTGTGGTAAGAAAACTGAGAGGTAGAAAATAAACGAATTAACCAGAAACTTTCACGCCTCCTCACTTATCTAGTATCATCTTGTTTTTGTTTTAACTTTACAAAATTTGCTTGAAATGTAAATACAGTGTCACAAGAAGGTGTTAAGATCATATATAGAGTCTGTTGAACTAAACTGGGATTCTTAAACTATTTTATGTTTCAGCTAAGTTCGGTGCAGTTGCGTATAATTCCAGTTACTTAGGAGGCTGAGGCAGGAGGATCGCAAGTTCAAGGCTACCTTCAGTAATTTATTGAGGCCCTATATCAAAATAAAAAATTAAAAAGGCTAGGAATGTGGCTCAGTAGTAGAGCATCCCTGAGTTTAACTCCCAATACTGCAAAAATAAACAAACAAATAATAATAAATTCCATTCATTTTAATTCCTTTTCATTCTGTATTGAACTCAGGGCCTTGTGCATGCTAAGCACATGCTCTGCCACCAGAACACTCCCAGTCCCCTAAATTTTATATATATTTCAATTAAAGTCTCCCTGAAACATTGTCAATGTGTCTCGTGGATAAGTTAATCCTTATTAGGAACCCACCATGTGCTAGACACTTTGCAAAAGGCATGTTTTTGCTTTTTGTGGTACTAGGGATTAAACCCAGGGGCACTCGACAAGGAGATACACTCTAGTCCTTTAAATTTTATTTGAGACAGGGTCTTGCTAAGTTGCCAAGGCTGACCTCAAACTTGTGATGCTTGGGCCTCTACTGACCTCCTGAGTAGATGTGATTTTAAGTATGTGCCACTAAGCTGGCCAATGCCTTATTTTTAGCACATTATTAACTGTTATTTTATAAGATAGCTGAGTTTCAGAAAAGTCAAACATTTTGTAAAAGCCACAGGTTGAATAAATGGCAGAACTAGAATTTCAAACACATTTTATATGTATCAGAGTTACCATTCAAAATATCTTGACTTCCATTTACTAGTGAGTTTTATTTTGTTTTTATTTAATTCTTTAAAACTTCACTTTGGGAAGTATTTATAAACTTTGAACAAACCAACTTTCAGTACAGCAATATCAGCACAGCAAAAAATGTGTACATTTTCAGCATTGATGAAGTCTTTAGATTACATCCTCCTCAAAACAAATTGTATGTGATTTACTTGACAGTAAAGCTACCCAAATATTTCTGTAACATCCTGGAAGGTATAATAATTGGAACTTTTTGAGAAGGGAAGGCCATTTTGTGTAGATATAGAATTGCTGTAGTACAATCATCACATTTATTTTACCATCTTAAGCTCTAGGAAAATGGATAATATTTTACTGACAAGAACAAAATGCCATCATAAAGGACATTGTGACTGAGGAAGATTGTATCTGGTTACCCACCCCCAAAATAACCTATAATACAAATTTTCATAGTAGGATATGTATTTCAAAATTATATAGCACAATAAATTAACCTAAAGTCTGTTATTAAGGAAGTAATAAGTAAATTATTAAATGGAAAAATACTGCAACAAATATATGTGTGTGTATGTATGTATGTATGTATATATATATATATATGACTATCCTAACATGTTCATTCCCAAAGAGATGAAACTATAAGATGATAGTCACAGTACATTGAGATTCTTTAGCATCTTGGGTTCCAAATGTGTCATCTTCTTGGTGGATCTGCAAATTTCTGAGAGCTTCCAGTCTCTAAGGCTATAAGAAAACTAACAGAGGAGGTGAATGAAGGATCCAAATCAAGAGGAATTTGCTTGGGGCTGGAATTGTGGCTCAGTGGTAGAGCGCTTGCCTAGCATGCGTGAGGCACTGGGTTTGATCTCCTGGGCCACATAAAAATAAAAACAAATAAAAGAAAAGTGTTGTGTCCATCTACAACTAAAAATAAGGATTTTTTTTTTTTTAAGTGAGGTACTTGCTTGCCTCAGAAGAACTTGTACACATGTTGAATGTTTACAAATTATTCTTTGAAGGAGATGAGTTATGGAGAAAAAAGAAGAATCAATGTTTTAATAGAAAAACTGCAATAAAATACCAACACATATTCCAATTTTCTTTCTTTCTTTTTTGTTTTTAGGCGCTTAACCACTGAGTCACATCCTTAGCCCTTTTTATTTTTTATTTTGAGACAGGGTCTCATTAAGTTGCTTATGGCCTCACTAAATTGCTTAAGCTGACTTTGAACTTGCAATCTTCCTGCTTCAGCCTCCCTAGCCACTGGAATTACAGACATGCCTGGCCATATTCCAGTTTTCTAATAAACAAAGAAATGCTCATTAAACCATGTTGAGAAATAGGGGAACAACATGGGGGAGAAACAGTGGGGGAACACAGTTAATAACTATGTCTCTAAATGTGGATTCACTGAACAAAAATTCAGACTGGCTTTAACAGGTAGGTGTCCCTAAGACACTTGTATGAAAGCATAGTATTGTTACAACACTTGTCATAACGTAAGACTCACTTTGTCCATGAGCTTTTGTGTCACCTCTCCCAGCATACTGGGATTCATTTAAAATCACTGACCACAGCAGCCTTTGTCATGATTGCTTTGCTGGGCAGCTGGACTCAGTGGTAGGCCCCTGTAATCAGCAACTCAGGTGGCTGGGGCAGAATGATGGAAGGTTTGAGCTCAGCCTGGGCAATTTAGTGAGACCCTGTCTTGAAAGAAATAAATACATAAATAGGGTTGGGGGTGTAGTTCAGTGGTAAATCACTACTGGATTCAACCCTAGCACAATAAAAACAAAAACAAAAACAAAATAAAACAAGCAAACAAACATGTCTTACTGGATGTAGTGACTGCAGGCCTGTCCTCTTAGCTATCTGGGAAATTGAGGCAGAAAGATCACAAGTTCAAGGCCAACCTGGACAACTTAGCAAGCAAGCCCCTGTTAGAAAATAGAACTTTTATTTTTTTGGTAGCTGGAATTGAATCCTTGGACACTGAGCCACATCCCCAGCGCTCAATCTCTCTCTCTCTCTCTCTTCTTAAATTTTGAGACAGGGTCTTGCTAAGTAGTTTAGGGCCTTGCTAAATTTTTGAGGCTGGCCTGGAACTTGTAATCTTCCTGCCTCACACCTCCAAGCAGGTGGGATTATGGGATTACAGGCGTGGATCACAATGCCCAGCAAAATAAAACTTCTTTTTTTTTTTAAAGGGCTGGGATGTAGATCATTTTCATTGTGGGTTCCATCCCTAGTACCCTAAGGGGTGTGTGTGTGTGTGTGGGGGGACACTTTCCAGCCAGAAGAATTTACCAAAAATAACAGAAATTATAAAAGCATTTGTATGGTACTCCACATTAAAGCAAATAAGCACTTTCCTTTGTTCATTACAACTTCCATGAGGGAGATGTTTTGTTTTGTTTTGCTATTATTCTCGCTGCATATATAAGTAAACTGAGACACAGAATTGACCTTTCCAATACCTCACAGGTAGTAAAAGCAGTGCTGTTAGTTTAAATCTTGGGCGTCCTCACCCCACCACACTGACGCAACAAGAACAATACAATACCATAAAATTTGACAGTGATGGCAGTGAACAATCCCATTTGATCCTCACTATACTTTCTTTGATCAAAGTGAGGTTGGAGTCACCTTCCTTTCTACACAGGAGGTAACTGGGGCTAAAAGGTACCGCACAAATCCATATGGCTGTAAAAGGCAGCTTGTGGAGGTGGAGCCCGGAGTCCAGATTTTCCGACTCCACAGTCGCAAGCTCAGAAAACGCTTTGGTAGCGGGGCCTGCAAATCAAGGATGGACGCGTCGACTGTCACCGAGCGTTCACAGGTACTCTCAAGCTGCTTCTGCCAGGCGGGGCACCTGGGACTTAGGCAAGTCACCAGATCGGAGCCCAAGGCTGCGGGTGGGGCCAGGCTCACAAATAATCTAAGTAGGATCTAGAAATGCTAGGATTTACGAAATACCGGCTTTCGAGTGAGTTCTTTAGTCTCCACCCGAAGATGATTATCACAGTTGAGTGTGGGCAAATGTAGAGGACCCTAGCAAGGGCAGGACCCGCAGCCCCTGTTCCGGCAGCTGGAGTGGGGCCAGAGCGGAGGTGGTGTCAGAGCGGAAATCGAACCCGGAGCAGGGGTTCAGCTTGGGGCTGTGGGGAATTTGTGAGGTGGGTCCGCTCCTGGCCCGCGGGAGAGGAGTCCGGAGGTGGCTGGAGCCAGGGCTGGGAAGAGAGAAGGCGCACCACTGAGCTGCCAGACGCACGGATCGCGGGCGGGGACCCGGGCGAGCCTGGGATCGCGGCTCTCGGAAGCGACAGAAGTGCCGAAGTCGCGGTCTGCGTCCTTGCGCGGGAGTCTCGGGGCGATGAGAGTGCGCGTCAAGGTAAACGCTGGTCCCGCCACTGTGTGCTCCCGCGGCTCACTCGGCGCGGCCCGGACCCGCAGCCACAACTCCCGCCCGCTGGCCCAGCTTCAAGGCTGGCACCCCGTGCGACAGGGAGTTTTGGGGGCTTGGAAAGGAGGGCGCCCCCGGCTACTGGGAGAGCTCTGGCGATGCTTGGGAAAGGAGTGAGCTTGTGGAATTTAGGGGAGAGGTTGGTCTCCTTTAGGCAGCCAAACCTTAAACTGGCTACCACTTACCTATTTTTCTGGACTTCCACACATTGTGTATGAAATGCGAAGTACCATTATTAAGCACGTTGTGTTCAGACGTAGTACAGGATGCTTGCCAAACGTTAGCTCATTTCAGCCAGGTCTGGTTGATAAGAGCATTTTCTCTGGAGCTAGATAGCCTGAATTAGCATCTCAGGTGTACCACTACCAGTGACCTTGGGTAAGTTAGTTCACCTCTGTGGGCAGGTTCCTCATCTGGAAAATGGGAGAATACTACTTGTAATTTAAAGATTTAGTGGGACCTTATATGCCATATGCTCTTAGAATAATACCTAATATATTCTGTAGGTTGTAAGAGATTGTGATTTGTAACTATTTCATGCTGAAATAATCCCATAAAGTCTAAGCATAATCACTCCCCCATTTCTACTAATTTTCTAGTCAAAATATGAGGCTGGGACTGAGACTGTAGCTCAGTGGCAGAGTACTTGCCTAGTATGTGTGGGGCACTGGGTTTGATCCTTAGCACGGCATAAAAGTAAACAAATAAAGGCATGCTGTCCATACACAACTACCGAAAAAAATCTTTAAAAAATGAGGCTGTGTGAGAAAAGTAGAATTGAGATATGAACCTGGGTCAGTGGCCTAAAACACTGAGAACATGGATATTCTAGCTGCACACATGATTGTCATTTGTTCTAGGAAAGAGTTGTAAATCACCCTTAACTGCCAAAGTAAGAAATGGATTCTTCAACTACTTTCCATCTGTATACAGATTTTGATATGTCATTTTGACATCCCTTTTGGATTTTGCCATGACTGATAAAGTATTAGAATATTTTTGCTAGACTGGAATCGGGGGCTTGACTGTAAGAATCTGGCTGCTTAGTTAGCTTGTTTCCTAGAGTACAAACATCATACAAGCAGTCTCTCTCTCCTGGTTTAAAATGAAAATCATTAGCTTTTGCTCCACAAGACCCATACCCCTAAGATATAGAAGTAGAGCTTCTGAATGGACAAAATAAAATGTGATATATTAGAAATATATACATAAATAAAATATTATTCAGTCTTAAAAAGGAAGGAAATAGTTGGATACTGTGATGCATGTCTGTCATCCCAGAAACTCAGGTGGCTGAGGAAGGAGGGGTGCAAGTTTGAGGCCAGCTTCAGCAATTTAGTGAGACTCTCAAAGTAAAAATAAAATAAGGGCTGGGGATGTAGCTCAGCAGTAGAGCATCTCTGGATTCTATCCTGAATATAGATCAATTAAAAAAAAAAGGGCAAAGGAAACTCTGACATATAATATGGATGAACCTTGAGGATATTATGCTAAGTTCAATAAGCCAGTTGCAAAAAGACAAATACTTCATGATTCCCCTTGTAAGCCATCTAAAGAAGTAAAGTTTATAGAAACAAAGTAGAATGGCAATTGCCATGGTTTAAAAGAGGGGAATAGGGAAATTGTTAGTGGGTACAGAATATTAGTTTTTTTAAACTTATAATTACTAATGCATATTAACTGTACAAATAAATGGGTTTCACTGGGACTTTTTCACGCATGCTATGCAAGTGCTCCATCACTGAGCCACATCCATAGTCCTGCATGTCTTTAGTGTGCTATGCTCTTGTCCACTCTCCCTTCTGCCATCTCTCGTTTTTGCAGTGCTGAGGATCCAATCTAGGGCCTTGCACATATATTCTACCACTGAGCTATGTAGGCCTCCAGATCCTGGACTTTCAGTTTTGCAAGATGAAAGATTTCTGGAGATTGGTTGTACAATAATGTACAATTGGTTGTACAATAATGTACTTAACACTATGGAACTGTACACTTAAAAATGGTTAGGATATGGGGCCTGGTGGTGCATGTCTGTAATCCCAGTGGCTTGGGAGGATTGCAGGTTCAAAGACAGCCTCAGCAATTTAGCGAAGCTGTAAGAAACCTAATGAGACCGCATCTCAAAATAAAAAATAAAAAGGGATGGGATATAGCTTAGTGGCTAAGTGCCCTCGGGGGTTCAATCCCTGATACAAAAAAAAAAAAAAAAAAAAAAGTTAAATGTGCCTTTTTACTTATGTGTTATTTATTTATTTTAGTTCTGGGAATTGAACTCAGATGCTAACCACTGAGCCACATCCCCAGACCTTTTTATTTATTTTTATTTTGAGACAGGTCTGATGCTGAAGGTCTTGACAAAGTTGCTTGCAGTGCCCCTATCTCAACCTCTCAAATTGCTAGGATTACAGGTGTGTGACACCATGCCTGGCAAATGTTATATATATTTCTACCATAACTTAAAACAAAGGAAGATTCTCACACACATTTCTTCATAATGGGATTTGTTTTCTACTTCTTTCAAAATAATGTTCTTTTTTTGTGTGCGTGGAACTGGGGATTGAGTCCCAGGACTCTTGCATGCCAGGCAAGCACTCTACTGCTGAGCTGCATTTCCAGACTTTGAGTTTGGTAATTGAATCGACTTTCAGCTGAGTCTTAACTTTTGACTGGAACCCACAGGTTTTCCAGGGTATCAGGAGGGCAGGGCAATGGAGTACCCTTGAAAACTTTTTTCTGTTTGACTTGGCACCAGAGTATTTTTTAGTCCCCTTGTTTGGGGCAGCCCAGCGTCACTTCCACTTGCTCTTAATGAGAGTTGGCATTTCCTTATCTCTGAAGAAGGGGTTCTTTGGTTATTTATATTACAGGAAAACTCTGAGAATATTTGAGTGTCACAACCAGTTTCAAGCAGTGGGAGGTAGTAGAATTGCATATCATATGATTTACCCATTAGTGTATTAACAGTTGAACAGCCATCATCACAATTTAAAAATATTTATCATCCCCCAAAGAAATACTACATCCCATAGCCATCACACTCTAGTCCTTCCATCCATCCATACCACCCTGGAAACCACTAATCTTTTTGTCTCTGTAGATTTGCCTATACTGGGCATTTTACATAAATGGATGCATACTGCTTGTGGTTGTTTGTGACTGGCTTATTTCCCTTGCCATTAATGTGTCAAGTTTCATATTGTAGCATATCGGGTACTTCTTCTTTGTATTGCTAACGCTATTCCATGGATGCATGGATGTATCATAATTTATTTGCCTGTTAGTCATTTGATGGATATTTCAGCTGTTTTACTTTTTTTGGGCTATTATGAATAATGCTGCTATGAACTTTTGTGAACAAGTGTTTGTGTGAATTTAGGTTTTCATTTCTCTTTGGTAGATCCTTAAGAGTGGAAATGCTGGACGGTATGGAAAATCTGTGTTTGGATTTTTTTTTGTTTGTTTGTTGGGTACTGGGGATTAGCCCAGGAGTGCTTTACCACTGAAGTACATCCTCAGCCCTTTTAATTTTTTCTTTTGAGACAGGGTCTTGCTAAGTTGCTTAGGGCCTCGCTAAGTTGCTGGGGCTGACTTTGAAGTTGTGAACTTCCTGCCTCAGCTTCCCAAATTGCTGGGATTATAGGTGTGTACCACCATGCGTGGCTTTTGTTTAGATTTTTTGAGGTACTTCCCCAAAGCATTTATTGTACCATTTTTACTTTTCCACCAGCAATCTATGATAGTTTCAATTTCTCCCCATCTTTTGTATTGTCGAATTTCCTTTTATTACAGTCAGGCTAGTGGATATAAAGAGGAAACTTGTGGTTTTGATTTGTATTTTCCTAAGGTCTAATGGATTTGAGCATCTTTTCATGTGCTTATTGGCCATTTGTAATCTTCTTTGGAAAACTATTTAGGTCTTTTGGGTAGAATTTATTTTTGATCCAGCTCTTAAGATATTTTTCCTGAAAAATGACATCCACACAAAAGTCAGTATATAATATCTTAGGGTTCATGACTCCCCTGATAATACTGTGAGTCTGACTTCTAGAGAGAACATAGCAGGGTCTTTCCTCAAAATTTTACCTGCTTGATTTTACTCATTACTACTATCAGGGATCTTAGTGGACTTGTGTGATAATGATTCAGGAAGATAATTTGCAAACCCTAAGACATTACTTTTAAGACAAAATTCTTGACACTAAGGGTTCTCTGAAATAAGGGGTTCAGTGAGCTGTTACAAATGCTAGTCAGAAAAGGACCCACCCAGTCCTGGAACAATTCTGCAACTATCAGCAGTTGGAAATATGTCTATTGGAGCTAAGAGTCAAGAGCATTTTTATAACAAATGTGGGGAGAGTATAAACTGTGTTCACTGAACCTACATTGGCTGTAAATAAGAGGGGCAGAATTTGGGGAGGGGACGACAGTCCATAAGAAGTACTTATTACTTCTGGACTGGTTGGGGTTAGTAATCCAGATGTTCCTATGTAAGAATGGGTAGTGGCACCTGGAATCAGCTGCCTAAGGTCTAAGTTATGGTTATATTATACATTAAAAGAGGAAACAGTTTTTGCTGTTGATGATGATGATCTTGGCCCATAGCTTTAACTGATTAATTTACCTTATTTTCCTGCCCCCATTCTCTGGCCCTTATGATTAAATTTAAGACATCAGAGAATGAATTAATCTTTCTTTCTCTCTCTCTCTCTCTCTCCCCCTCCCTCCCTCCCTCCCTCCCTCCCTCTCTTTTTCTCTTTCTTTCTTATTCTACTACTTCAGGGATTGATGTAGCCCGAGAATTTTTGTTTTGTTTTATTTCCAGTTGGGGCCTTGCTATGTTGCTCAGGCTGGCTTAGAATTCCTGGGCTCAAGTGATCCTCTTGCCTCAGCCTCCCAAGTAGCTGGGACTGCAGGTGTGCATCACTGTCCCTGACTTGGTATTGACACAAGTTCTGCAGATATCTGATGGTGAAGTGGTTACTGAGGGCACAGACATAAGTCAGACTTCCTGGGTATGAATCTTAGTATTACTCCCCCTGCCCCCAGTAAGGAAGATTGAACCCAGTGGTGCTCTACCACTGAGCTACATCCCCAGCCCTTTTTATTTATCTTG